TCTGGTGACTCCACGCCGCTGCCCTTCGGTGTCTTCTCGTCACTTCCCTTAGCAATCGTCTCGTTATGCGCGGTGTCTCCCTCGTTGCTGCGCTCGCCTCCTGCCGTCTGCGCGCGCTTGGCCTTCTTTGCGTCCTCCATTTCAGCGAACGGGGGATAAGAAATGAGCGGCCAGGAACGGTTTGAAATGTCAAAACTTTAAAAATCCGAAAAATCTATTGTATTTTGGTTAAAGTCGGTATCTTGGATTGTACTTTTTCTACAAAAATAGTTGGTGGATGTAGGCACTTTCTATATAAATTTTTGGGTCCATCTCCCCGAGTTTTACTATGCTGAAACTTATATTAGTAGCCCCCCCCAAAAAAAAACAAATCATCTCTTTACAGACTTCGCACTTGTTAATATTGATTGCAGCCACTTAGCGACGACGTCACATACCCCTTTATATCCGATCACATGGATTTAGGTAAATTTGACAAAACACGAGATCGCTGTGAATTTCCCATGCAAATTAAATTCTTATTAATAATCAGACAACCCCTACGCTTATGGAGGGGGACTTCTGTACTATTATAAAAGAGACAGTATTTTCTGATCGCACATGTTTTCTCGCTGTACGCAGAGCTGTGCTAGGAAGAATCTGTCAGAAGGTTTTAGCACAGTGAGCTTATTTAAAAAAGAAGGGAATATACCGGTAGGTACAGTGGTGAGTACATCTATAATACTAAACATTCATTACTACTAGTACATGTAGTATCATGGAAAGGCTCAGAAATTAAAGGGTTAAGCTCGTTGTGGATGTGTTGCGGCAACAACTCTGTTGCCGCTGCAAATTGCAGTGCAATGCAACTTGCATGCCATCGCGACAGACACCATCTGATTCTTTAACAAAAAACATGAAGCTCCTCAGCTCGAGGAGCTTTATGTTTTGTGTATGACCCGAGGCTCGGGTGGTCGAACAAGAAGAGCTGTCATCTAACGTGTTCCGCGCATGTGAATGAAGAACAAGGTTTCGAAATGGATGTGAAAGAAAACAGTGTTGACACGTGCTTTCACTTTAACATACAGTATTAAACCAGAATTAAAATACATGTACCATGAACGCCCAGAGACTTTAGAAGAATGTAGATAAGGGAAGTCGGCAAAATAGATCCGTAACTTCGGGAAAAGGATTGGCTCTGAGGGTTGGGCCTAGGGGTCTTTTTGGAGAACTTGTGGCGGCCTACGTTGGGCTGCGTCTGGACCTTTCGGGGACCGGATGCGGCCTGGCGGTCGGGCTGCTCTTGTTGTGCCGGAGAGAAAGGTAGTTGGCTTTCGGGCTGGCTGCAGTTTCCTTAGTGCGTTGAACAACCGGCTCAGAACTAATAGGCCACAGGCTAAAAAAGTGATTTTTTTGTCAGTTATGTGCATGTACCTTATATAGCAGTATTTGTTCACGATACAACGCTATCTGGCGCAAACAATACAGTTTCAAATTTAAAACGCCATAATAATTCTAAGCTGCGATATTTTCGCATATAGCTCTATCACTTTTAATATAACTAGGCTGCAGCTGTAATATTCAAGTATACATAACAGCGTGGTATCATTTTCAAAAATATGTATCTGAAGCTAGTGCGACATCGTATTATCTATAATATATCTGGTTTTCGCGAAATCCTGGCCATTTAATTTGGAAAAAAATCAAAGCACAGAGAGGAAGTTCAGATTCACTTGTCAATTACCAAGATGCCTAGTACAGCCAGCCAAGTGTTCGACCGCCTCAACCGACAGTGGGAGGACGAGACCTCCAACCTCGTTGTTAGCCACGAGAACTATGGCGATGTCGCTCGCCATATAGAGGAAGAAGCCTCCGATTCTGGCTCACCTATTCTGTCTGAGTATATTGCGGCAGGTGGTGATAGTGCGCTAAAGGGCATGACCAACTTCTCTGCGCCCGAGCTGGATGCGCTTTGGGCTCTTGTGGAATCTGCGGTGACGATTACATGGACGCAAGGTCGTGGGCGTAAACCGTCTGTGTCGGGGAAAGACGCAATGTTCATTACCCTGACCGTGTTGAAGCATTTTGACACATGGCAGAAGCACGCGATCGATTTCAACATCGGGATTTCTACGCTGGAGAAAACGGTTCACCGTGTCATTCAGACAATTGAGCCCGTGCTGTACTCCCAGATGGTCAAGCGCGTAAGGATGTCCGAGCAGATGGAAGCTGGAAACACCTTTACAAACTATTCACATGCTCTCTGCGCTACTGACGTCAAGTTCCAGCCAGCATATCGGCCTAGCGGTCGCTTTGCAGAACAGAAGGTTTACTTCTCCGGTAAGCACAAGCTCTATGGGTTCTAGATTGAGTGCTCTGTGACACCACCAGGTGTCGCTGTTGATGTTTCAGATCATTCTCCTGGATCAACGTCGGATCTGACGATGATGCTCGACAGGCTCACGATTCATCGTCAGATGCTGCGCAAGGAGGACGGGACAACTGCTGAAATGGGAGCTGACCCAACGCAGTTTCCATATATGTGGGCCGTGCTAGTAGACAAGGGTTACCAGGGTGCAGGGCGGGTGCTTCGAACGATCCAGCCAAAGAAACAACCGCGTGGAGGCACTCTTGACCGCGACGATATTTCCCGCAACCGTGCAATTTCTTCAGATCGCGTCCTGGTTGAGAATTATTTTGGCCGGATGTGTATGCTGTGGAAAGCTACCTATGCGACCTTTAAGTGGAACGAGAACCGTTTTGATGGTGTTGCTCGGCTATGTGTGGCGTTGACCAACTTCCATGTAGGTTTGATGCCTCTACGAGCTCACGACAGCGAGCACTACGATATGGTGTTGTCCAAGTATCAGTCAATGGGCGAGCGTGTTCGCACCCAGCGTGCTAGAGCCCAGCGTCTATATCGGGCTCGGCAACAGCAGCGCTCGCGCCCTGGACCATATAGCGTTCGCTCTCGCCTATCCACATCTCAGCGCGAGACCCAATACGAATCGGACGACTCCCTAAATCATGCTTTGTAAGGCACCTTTTCCCGGTCTTATTCTGCTTGCTCCTAGCTTCCTAAGACTAAAGACATTAAATAGATTACTGTTTGCTATACCTCTACGTTTGACTTTCCAACTTGTCGTCAAAATGGATGTAATCAGGCTCCGTGCAGCTAGAAAGGATTAGGCAGCAACTTCAAAGCGGTAAAAACCACGGAAGTCGCTTAATGCCAGTTGCCCACTAATACCACACCACGCGCCGTCTTAAACTCCACAATGCACTACAGGGGTATGCGTGTGACGTTCACAGTACTTCGGCCCGTCGCCCCCTTGGCCGATTGATGGCAAGTTGGAAAGTGAGGAAGATGAAGTGTCTAGCTGCTTTATTCGCACTTGTAGAGTACCTGATAGTGTATAGGCAGAACCCAGGTGTCGTTGAAATAGACCGACTCTTGGGTAGAAGCCTCCATAATTAAATTTTTGGGCCACAAATGTAGCCAACTGTTTTTCATAGGATCGTACTTATCCCAGAAGTAACGGCCTGAGCCATGAGATGCAAAAATATAAAAAAAACAGCAGGGTACATGCGAAAAAAAAGTATGTGCTTTTCCAAGAATCATGTTTTCCGGAATAAGGCATGGAATTCGCATAAAATTAGATTTTATGCGAAATTAAGCACCATACGCTAAGACACACTTTTTGAGACTGTTATCTATTGTATTAATACCGGTAAACGGAAATACGTGGCGATCGTGACATTGTACTTCACAATCGTTTGATTGCCGTAATTAGTAATTACAACAGTGGCCAAAAACGTGAACAACTCCTCTTCATGATGAAGAGGAGTTGTTCACGTTTTTGGCCATGAAGTTCATCGCCTTACGTTTCATGTTTTTAAACCACTCGTAGTACGAGTCGTACCGGTACTGTACATGGCTCTGAAATCTTTTGTGAAAAGCACCTGCGATCTGGCGTTTATGTATCGCCACGATATTTGTGCTCCCGTTGGCAAATTACTCCGACGTCAACAATCAACAACCGCGGCTGGAAGAATGAACCTCTACGCCGTTCTGTGGGCTGGCCTTGCAGTTCTTGCGTCTGTGCAAGCCGAAGCCGGGTCTCACAGTCAAATGCAATCGTCGCAAGGCGATGTCGGCCCCATTGAATCAAAGACTGCATCCCAAGCGCAGGGTCCTATTGAAAACCCAAAACGAACCATAAAGTACATTGACTTCAGCAAGTTGACCCAAGCACCGTCGGCCACCGTTCCTCGAAACGTGTCTAAAGGTCCGACGAGGCCGGATCCTCGCCAAGAACCGCCGACTCCAGAACCTACACCAGCGCCAACTCCCGCCCCTACTGCTGCCCCAACGCCTGCTCCGACCCCAGCTCCAACGCCGGACCCTGGCCCATGGGTGACAAAAACCATTGGCCATGACGATGTGAAGCCGTTCCCTCAGCCCGAACCTGTCACGATCTCTGAGAAGG